CTTTTTATCTCTCCTTCTATTTTCAATGACAGCCTAGCTGGATATAGTATTCTTGGCTGCATATTTTTCTCATTTAGTGCCCTGAATATATCCTGCCAGTCCTTTCTGGCCTGCCAGCCAGATAGGTGGATAGGTCTGTTGCCAATCTAATGTTTCTCCCGTTGTAGGTTACAGATCTCTTGTCCCAAGCTGCTTTCAGGATTTTCTCTTTGTCTCTGAGACTCGTAAGTTATTAGATGTCGGGGTGTTGACCTATTTTTATTGATTTTGAGGGGGTTTCTCTGTGCCTCCTGGATTTTGATGCCTGTTTCCTTCCCCAAATTAGGGAAGTTCTCTGCTATTATTTGCTCCAATATACCTTCTGCCCCCCTTTCTATTTCTTCTTCTTCTGGGATCCCAATTATTCTAATATTGTTTCATCTTATGGTATCACTTATCTCTCGAATTCTGCCCTTGTGATCCACTAGTTATTTGTCTCTCTTTTTCTCAACTTCTTGATTTTCCATCATTTGGTCTTCTATATCACTGTTTCTCTCTTCTGCCTCATTGATCCTAGCAGTTAGAGCCTCGCCTCCATTTTTGTTTACACCTCTTAATAGCCTTTTTGATTTTGACTTGGTTAGATTTTAGTTCTTTTATTTCTCCAGAAAAGGTTTCTCTAGTATCTTCCATGCTTTTTTCTAGCCCAGCTAGTATCTTTAAAATCATCATTCTGAACTCAAGTTCTGACATCTTACTAGTGTCCATATTGATTAGGTCCCTGGCAGTCTGTACTGCCTTGTGTCCTTTTTTTGGGGTGATTTTTTCCATATTGTCATTTTGTCCAGAGTAGAATAGATAATGAGAGAACAAAATGCTAGCAGGGTAACAATGACCCCAGAAAAATATACACTAAACAAATTAGAAGAGACCTGAAACTGGGGGAAAAGAAATGGAAAGAAAGAAGAAAGAAAAAAAAAAAGAAAGAAAAAGATAAAAAAAACAAAAAAAAGAATATGATCAAATATGAACTGGCTGGTGCATAGATCAGTGCCACACACTAGATTCTGGGTATATTTTGGTCTGTTAGAAGAAAGTGCCTCCCAAAATTTTAAAGAAAGAAAAACTTATATATGTACAAAAATAAGGGTAAATATGATGAAGGGATGGAATATGACTGTAAAGATGAAAATTATAAAAGATTTTATAAAAGGAATTGATAAGATAAGAAGTTGGTTGCAAAAAGAAGGAAGAGGATTAAAATAAAAAAGGGAGACAGTGTATCATGCAGGAGACTAGAGCAAAGCTATACACTAGAGATTTAGGGTATATTTTGGTTTGTTAGAAGAAAGTGTATCCCAAAATTTTAAAAGAGAGAACAACATATATATGTATATGTATATATACATACATGTATATGTATACACATATATATCAAAAATAAGTTTAACTACTATGAAGGGATAGAATATGACTCTAAAAATGAAAAATAAAAAAAAATTTTTTTAAAGGGATTGATGAGATGTTGGTTGTAAAAGGGAAAAGAAAAGTTCAAAAAAAAAAAAAAGACCAAAAAAGAAAATAAAAAAAATTAACTTTGGAAGACTAAAGAATCACGGGGAAAATAGCCATGAATCTATGTGCAGTATTCCCCTATTGCTGGAGTTCTACCATTCTCATTGATCAGTAAACTTGATCTTGGCTGGCTGTTCTTGCTGATCTTCTGGGGAAGGGGCCTGTTGCAGTGATTCTCAGGTGTCTTTCCTGGAGGTGGAATTGCCCCGCCCTTGCTGGGTTTGCTCTCAGGAGCTTTTGTTCCCTGCAAGCTTTCTGTATAGCGTTGGAGGACAAGAGTGAAAATGGCAGCCTCCCAATCTCCACTCTGGAGGAGCCAAGAACTTGGGGACCCACTCCTCAGTGAGCCCCCAGAGAAAAGCAATCAGTCACTCCTGTCTCCCTGGTCTCTGGCCGCACTCTGTGCTCACCCAGCCTGTGACCGAGCATTTCTATCTCTGGCACAGGACCCCGTTTGGAATCTCCAAACCCAGCAGATTCCTGTGGTGGGCTCCTGTGCTGCTCCTCCCGGGGTATGATGTGGAGTCTCCCCGGATCTGCCACTTGTTGGGTCCCTGCTGGAGGATCAGTGGCCTTACTATGCCGCAGATCACAGTTTATGGCAACCCCAAGCTGAGAGCCCACTCCTCGCTCTGTCTCTGCAGCCGGCTTCCCCACTCCAATACCTGGGAGCTCTGCCGCACTCAGGCACCCCCAGTCTTTCTGTGACCCTGAAGGTCCTGAGACCACACTGTCCCAGCGAGGGTTCCACCCCCGGCTTAGCCCCTGGAGCAATGTCCCTAGCAGAGCCAACTTCTAAAATTTCCGATTTTGTTGCTGCTCTATCACTTGCCAGTAGCAGCTGACGGAGGCCCCCTCCCCCACCGTCCATCTTGCCGAATATCGCCTCAGATTCACTTCTCCACTCGTCCTACCTTCCAGAAAGTGGTCGCTTTTCTGTTCAGAGAGTTGGGGCTCTTCTTTTCTTTGATCTCCTGTTGAGTTTGTAGGTGTTCAGAATGGTTTGATCCCTATCCAGCTGAATTTCTGGGACCAGACGAAATTTAGGTCTCCTTCTCCTCCACCATTTTGCTCCTCCCCCTCCTGTATTATTTATATTTATATTTAATATATATTTATTATACAAATATATTAGTATTTACATATTTATAATAATATATACATATTTATAATGTATATACTTATATATGATGTATCTTTGTATTTATATATTATGTATGTAATATATATTATAATTATATAAATTTATATACTGTATTTACATATACTATATTTGTATTTATATTAATATATATTTTTATTTATTTATAAATATGTATTATAAATATATAAGCAATACAAATATATATTTGTATTACAATACAACATAATACAAATATATTACATATATATGTATTACAATATAGTATACAATATATTATTTTAAATATATTAATACTTATAAATACATATGCTATACTATATGGAATTTTATCCTTACATTGTCAGGCATTTCTAAAGATATCTAGGATGTATTGCCTTCTATAGTTTCTTTAGATTCTGCCTTTGTCTACTCATGTCACCTTGATAAGATATATTGGTGCTTTTCAGCAATGAGTTCCAGGGAATCCACCACTTGCTCATCTAAACTCATTTATTTGGACATCATAGGGAATTTCTTTTCACAAAATTTCTTATTGTTTTAATATATATCTCTTTATTGCCTTGGTCATAGTTAATTGATATATGTAGCTACAGAAGATCATATAATGATCTCCTACTCTCAATCAACTAGCAAAGTATTTTAGATTTTATTGCATTAGGGACTTCCTAGTTATACCCACATACATATTCCTACTGACTGTGAACCAGTCTATTTTTTCCTATAATTTTACAACAGTAAAATAGTTTCTCTTCAAAGAAAAATATATAAAATCCCATTCAGAGTGGTATTCCCTATTCAATGATTCAGCTATGACAAAATCATAAGGAAAACAGAATGAAACTTTGGGATGACTTTAAGCTTGTAGAATAGCTAATGAAAAAGTAAAAAAGAGTATAGAACGTTATCTTAAAGTTTATTGAATAAATTTCTAAAGAAAGAGAGCAGGCAAATTATAAAAATTTCAGAAGGTTGGGGTGGATGTGAAATGGGACAATGTAATCAAAAGTAGCAAATTATATGCTTGGTCAACTAACACCAGTAAAATGAATGAAAGCACCTAGGTTTAGGCTGAGCTCCATTATGGACAGTAGAGTGGCTCACAGCCAATCCTGCCTTTTTGCATCTGAAACACATTAATATCAAAATATTTAAGCTACACTGGTTTTTCAATAGATCTGTTTTTGTATGTTACCATCCTATCCTAATTTATGGTACTTCTTTTTCAATTGATTTCCTATCTATCTTCTCAACTTTCTGTCTCCTCTAAGCTCTGTGAGGACTTACATCATCATCTACCCCATTCTGCTTACACATCCACTCTGAAAGCTAACCGTCCAGATTTATCCCAGTGAGTCAAATATTCTCTGCTTCTACTGGTAAAAGAACAACTCCTCCACATTAGTTCCAAGAACTGGGTAATGGGTCTGCACACTGTCAACTCAACCAGCATTTGCTGAAAGAACAAAATCTCCTTCACTCTTTCACCTGAGAGTCAATTTCTAAGATTTGTAAGGAGGTGTTTTGCTCCCTAAACCAGAGAAAATGAGAAGACTGGGAAAGGCTGTCACTTTCCAGAGATTCTAAACTTTGAACAAAATGGACAGGGCTATGGGATTGAGAATCTATTCTACAACTTCAAGTGCTACAAAGGGATTTCACCTAATCTGCAATGTGTTTGGAGTTTGTAGAGGGATATAGACAAAAAAGTTAATGTCATCTGTAGCACCTTCTGAGGACATTTCAGAACCTAGCAAGATCGATGTTCGTAGAGTCATAAATTCCATTTCTACAACTTCCTTATGCACAAATACCTGCGTTGGCTTTGAGAAAAGATATTCAAGAATCCTATCTAATACAGACTTAAGTTGATTCTCAAAGATTCAAAGTCATGTGGCCACATTTCCATCCATGTTTTTTCATGTTATAGAAGAAATGATGAGAATTCCCCTGTTCCTTTTCATCCATAATTTTTCTCTGAATAGGTATCAGAATCAATGGTGAGAAAAGGATTTATTGACCTGATGGGATCTACAAACATATCATATCTGAACCCACAAATAGTGACCCTGGTTGGGATCCCTGGACTAGAACATGTGCAGTTTTGGATCGGATTTCCCTTCCTTGGAGTGTGCCTGGTGGCTCTGCTGGGGAACATCTTCTTGTTAATCATCATCCCTACAGAACGCCATCTTCACCAACCCTTGTACATCTTCCTAGCAGTTTTGGCAGCCACTGACCTAGGTCTCTGTGTAGCCATTGCTCCCAAGATGTTGGCCATCTTCTGGTTTGGCTCCTGCTCCATGGCTTTCGATGCTTGCCTCACTCAGCTCTTCTTCATCCATGCCTTGCAGGGCATGGAATCTGGTATCCTGTTGGCCATGGCCTTTGACCACTACATTGCCATCTGTAATCCTTTGAGGCACACATCCATCCTTACACCTCTCTTTCTAGTTCAAATGGTATTGATGGTGGCCATCCGGGCAATGGTGCTTGTTGGAATTTTACCCATTCTACTTAAACGCTTGCAACTTTTCCAGTCTGTGATTATTTTTCATTCCTACTGTGAACACATGGCAGTTGTGAAGCTGGCTGCAGAAGATGTCCATATTAAAGATCATATGGGCTCTTTGTGGCCTTTGCAATTCTAGGTTTTGATATGATCTTTGTCTTCATCTCCTACATTCTGATTTTTCAGGCTGTTTTTCATCTTCCCCAGAAGGAGGCAAGACTCAAAGCATTCAATACATGTACTGCCCATATTGCTGTCTTCCTGGAGTTTTATATCCTTGCCTTTTTTTCCTTCTTCAGCCACCGCTTTGGACATGTATCACCCTATGTTCATATCCTCTTGTCTACCATCTATCTGCTTGTGCCCCCTGCCCTTAACCCCATTATCTATGGTGTGAAGACCAAGGAGATCCACATGAGGGTTGTTCAGATTTGTATTCTGAAGCCTGACACTAAGCAGTGATCCAAAAATACTATGACACAGGAAAAATATATATTTACCCATTTAAGATGCAAACTCCTTGTACTATGTCTATGTTGGTGAAACTTTTACCTGATAAGGATCTCCTCTAAAGGATTTATGTTCCTCAAACAAAAGAACTCAGATGTGAGATGAATCTGAGTGAAAAGTACATATATATATATATATCATAAGTTCCTATCATCTCCCCCATCTCTCTCTCCCATTCTTCTTTTATCTTTTCTTATTGCCTTCCTTCCATATTCTTCCTTGTTTTTTTTATCCTTCCTTGTTTACACATCTATTGTATCTTTCTGCAATACCAAGAGGTAGCTTATCCTTTGATGTGTAACAGTGACAAAGACATATTCCATGATTTCAGAAGCTCACAGCACAGTGATGATATAAAAATACTGAGCAAATATAATTTAATGTTATTTAGGCCATGATAAAAGAAGAAGAAAAAATTTATTTTCACATGTGAGAAGCAACTAACTTAGATTTTAGAAGAAATCAGAAAAGACCTTATATAGGAAGACATGGCAAATGTGAGGTTTGAATAATGCATTTTACTTAAGATGATGAAATATTATTAACCAAGATTTCAAGTTTTTAAAACACTAATATCATTATAACTCATGTAGATGTGGAGAAGTATATGCAGGTGTGTGTGAATCTAACCTCCTTGAGCATGTGATTCAGGAAAAAGCAGGCTCATCTGTGCTTTCATCAGTGATCAAAATATACAAATCATTCTGAAGTAGGAAATAAGGTATTAGTATATCAGTATCTGATACATAGTTTTATTTATTTATTTATTTATTTATTTATTTATTTATTTATTTATTTTTAAGATTTTATTTATTATTTTATTTGACACAGAGAGAGACAGAGAGAGAGAACACAAGCAGGGGGAGTGTGGGAGGGAGAAGCAGACTCCCCGCTGAGCAGGGAGCCCGATGCAGGGCTTGATCCCAGAACCCTGGGATCATGACCTGAGCTGAAGGCAGACACTTAACGACTGAACCACCCAGGCGCCCCTGATACATGGTTTTATTTAATTGCACAAATACAGTCCTTTTCTTGGGTAAATGAACAAGTCACCTTTGCAGAATTGCCACTGACTAACTAGCATTGATTTTATGGCCTTGGAAGGAGTTCATTCTCTGTATTGTGTGGCAACTCATTATGAACTTATTTTTTTTTTCCCCAAAAGGTCATTAGGAGATACTCTGGAAAGTTTTGAGATGCAATCCATCAATTTGAACAAGTTTTTTGATTAGGAACATAACAACTTTTTTTCTCCCATCCTTCTTAGTCTTACTGTTCAGAAGGTCTTATAAGCTAGTGAAGAAAATCCAAAGGCTTTAAGTTTAGCCATATCTCCTTTAGTTCCCTTTTCATATTAGACCTTCTTGTCCAGTGTCTCTGTGGCTTGAAAGCATGTATACCACCCTCATTATCACCACATGGACACCAATAATTTTAACACAGTTCATTTCTCTGTTTACCACAGTGGTTTATCTCCCTCCTCTTGATGGTCAAGCTAATGATAATAACTTATACTATTACTTACAGTAGGAAAAGAAGATTAAAGTTTATCCTCTGATGGTCTCAATCTATAAACAGGTGAATATGACATAAGAGTGTCTATCAAGGGTTCCCCCAAAAGCAAACCAAAGCAATAATATTTTTTTATTATGTTATGTTAATCACCATACATTACATCATTAGTTTTTGATGTAGTGTTCCATGATTCATTATTTGCGTATAACACCCAGTGCTCCATGCAGAACATGCCCTCTTTAATACCCATCACCAGACTAACCCATCCTCCCACCCCCCCCCTCTAGAACCCTCAGTTTGTTTTTCAGAGTCCATCGTCTATCATGGTTCATCTCCCTCTCCGATTCCCCCCCCTTCATTCTTCCCCTCCTGCTATCTTTTTTTTTTTTTTAACATATAATGTATTATTTGTTTCAGAGGTACAGATCTGTGATTCAACAGTCTTGCACAATTCACAGCACTCACCATAGGACATACCTTCCCCAATGTCTATCACCCAACTGCCCTATCCCTCCCACCCCCCACCACTCCAGCAACCCTCAGTTTGTTTCCTGAAATTAAGAATCCCTCATATTAGTGAGGTCATATGATTCATGTCTTTCTCCAATTGACTTATTTCGCTCAGCATAACACTCTCCAGTTCCATCCACGTCATTGCAAATGGCAAGATTTTATTCCTTTTGATGCAAAGCAATAATTTTAATGTATGTGGTATATTTGGGAATTGATTCAAGAAAAAATTTTGTAAGGGATTGAGCAAGTAAGACAGTGAAGGGAAGAAAGCCAATAATGTGTGTATGACTGAGCAGGTTACTGCTATAAATTACCAGAGCTCTCTCCTGTTGGAGGTGCTTGGAAAAAGGTAAAGATCACACCTTGAAACTTTTCCTTTGAGGAGTTCAAAATGGCATATTTATCTATCAATCTCCATCTCTTATTAGATGGTAATTCCTGAAATATCACCTTCCCAACACTTCTCACATGTACCAGTCATGGACAGAGCATGCTCCCCAGGTCAGAGGATTCTAATCTGATGGAACAGGAGTCAGTGTGGAGGTAGACTGAGGTGCCTAACATATGAGTGAAGGAGAAGGCTTGACTATCTGGTCCTGGATTCCTATCTGCAACTCCTTGAGGGACTCCAAGTGAGAACTACACAGCTGAGTCCAGACAATCAAAAGAACCTTGAGAAAAAAAATATCATAAAATATCATTTAAAGCCAGTAAGTGTTGGGGTGTTATAGTACACAACACTAGTTAAAATGTAAGAAAAAAAATGATGTTAAGAGTTGGGTTCTGCCGTAACAAAGACCTAAAACATGAAGCACTGGTTTTGAGTGCATGGACAGAAGCTTGAAGGGTATCGGTAAGACTGTTAATGAAGGCTTTAAATAGAATGACAAAATTGTTATTGTGTACCAGAGAAGAAAGTGACCTGTGCTTTGTAGTGGTGGAACAACTAACAAAACTGTCACCTTTGTTAAGGTAGATAATAAAAATATACCTAATGAACTGATGGGTTTCATGAAGGAAACTTCTGGATAATGTTGAAAGTGCCACTTGTAACAAAATATGTATAGAGAAAAATGAGTTAAAGAAATAAGTGTTTAACATTCAAATAGTACTCATAAAAACCATAAAGCTTCAGGAATTTCTGAGTTTGAACACAAAATTTTTCTCATTTACTTTTTCTCCAGACATTATATGTTCTTAAAGTAAGAGTTATCTTCTTCTTTTTTTAAAATTTTATTATGTTATGTTAGTCACCATACAATACATCATCAGTTTTTGATGTAGTGATCCACGATCCATTGTTTTTGTAAAAGTGTGCATTTTAAAAATCCTTTAATGGTCAAGAACTGCCTGGTTAGACTGAAAAGGACAGAGACAGTTCAAAATGAAAAGTACCACTGGAGTCCCCAACCTATAGGCTTAGAAAGATAAAGTGAAAATTTGGCTCACTTCTTTTAGAAAATGAATGATTATGCAGAGTACAGACCCCAGATCTCAGAAAGATCAAAGAAACAGAATTATCCTCATAGAGCAGGATATGCCTTAATAAAAAAGCTGGGAACACTGCTCAGATTTCAGTATGCTATGGACCAGCAACTACCATGCTCCTTCTTTCTCCCTCTTTTGGAATGGGAATGTTTTTGCAGTTATCCTATTGCTATATTAACATTATACATTGGCAGTGTAGGAGGCAGAAGACTTATCTTTTTAGTTAATAGAGGTTCAGAGAAAGAGAGACCATACTCAATGAACTATATCTAAGGAACCAAACCTATGAAGCCTCATTTACATCTGGATATGATTTAGATGATGAAATTCTGGATAGATATCAAAATAGGGTGAGACCTGGAAGTTTGGAGGAGGTGTTAAGTATATGTTGCATATGAAAGGGATGTGAACTCTTGTAGTCAGAGAGGAAACTGTGCCAGATTGGATCTGTCAGAGATGGCTATAACAGTATTTTCTAAACTCCCTGTTCTTTTGCAATATAATCATCAGGGATGTGTCTACTTTTCAACCCCTTGACTTGGTCAAATCCTTTGACGGCCTCGAGCGATAGAATACTACAAAAGTGATGCTGTGTAAGTCTTAGGTATAGGTCATATCTGGCCTAGCATCTTCTGCTTTTTATCTCTTAAAGCTCTGAAACACCAGGTAAGAAACCCAGGTTAATTTCATGGAGAGCCTGGGGGGAGGAGCACTGTGGCACCAGGCTTGTCAGTGAAGCCATGTTGGATGTCCATCCTTACTGAACCTTCAGAGGGTTCCAGCCCATGTAACTTTTCGTCATGCAACCGTGTGAGAAAAGTGAAGTGAGAATATTAAGACCAATCAACCCTAAATTCTTAATTTTGGGGTGTTTGTAATCTAGCAAAATATAATTATAAAAGTTGAGAAGGGGAATTATATTTGAGGGAACACCACTGGCCCACTGAAGGTGAAAGAACATGCCTAAATAATATTCAGAAATGGAGTCAAAGAGATTTGACTAGTATAAAAGGATCCTCAATGTAGAAGAATTCTGACCAGGCAAACAAAATAATTCCTTCCCCCCTGCCTCCTTCTCTCCTTCCCTTCTTTCCTCTATCACTCCCCACCCTTCTGTCCCTTTTCCCTACCTCCTTCCTTTCCTTCCTTTTATCTTCCCTTCCTTTATTTTATTTTCAGTGCATGGGCTTACTGTGTAAGTCTGTGCATTCTTTTATGATCTTGTTGTTACATCAAAGAAGGTATTTGAAATGAGACTTAATTTATTCAATAGATACTTATTAAACTCATAACATGGGAATTCTAGATAGTATGAAAACAAGCATAGAGAAAACATTCATTTTAAATTTTTTTGAGATACCACCTCACACCAGTCAGAATGGCTAAAATTAACAAGTCAGGAAACGACAGATGTTGGTGGGGATGCGGAAAACATT